GTTTGGGACTCTTCCCTACTCGGTGCTCTTATATAATACCCCCCCCCCCCCCTTCCTCCCCAACAGCTTCCAAGTTACTGGGAGAAAAACGGCTTTAGCATAGATATCCCCCTTTGATGATTCAATAGCCATTGGCTTGGTCTGAAACTGGTTTCTTTACTTTTTCTGATTTTCTTTTCCCCCTCTTTTTTATATCCTTACTGTTCTGTTCCCCTCTCTCAATACCGTTTTTGGTTTATACCCTGCATTTTTTTCCCCCTGAACTGTTCTGTTCGAGTATGTCCCTGATATGATGTGTGTACGATCGTGTCTCATTCAGCGTTACATTTATGGTTCCTAGTCGATATTTGATATTCGATCTTCGAGGTTTATGACACTTTCTTTTATTCAATGTGTGGATGTGGGTATCCCCGGAGTTGTTTCGCGAAAATGGCACAACCAATTGAATATCATCAAAATCTCAACTTCCTTTGTAAATCCAGGTGTTACCACGTGTACTAGTAGTCTCGGCCGTAAAGCCTCGGTGCCGGAGGTGTTTCTAGAGTGGCTTTATTTAATTACAATTGTATTTACGCCCATATGGCATGATGTCACGTTCTTTTCTGGGTTGCAGTTCATTTTTTTAATGGGTGTTAGCCACTTGCATTGTGGCGATGAAAAATATGGTATGATTCCTTGGCTATTTGAGAAGGCCCGATTCGCTAAACAATATCTATGTGCAGATGGGCTAATACATGGGTAATTAATATTAAATGATAATTTGTAATTCTTTTAATTTAGAAGCGGGTTTCAGATCTTCAATATATTGTATAGTGTAGGAACTCGGTTATTCGAACTTTCAAGGGTCATCTCTCGGATCCTTCCAGAGAGTATATATTCGGTATAGTAAAAAGACAACTAATAGATCAGCTAGAATAAAACTAAGTTTGCCGATTCGACTAGCGGGGTTGGAGTGCGATCATTCGCTGCAAGTATTTGTGTTCATAATCAGATCAGATCTATTGGGATCGGGATCGGGCATGAGATCTCAAATTAAATTTAGATTAAATACATATTAAATACAGGGTATACCTATGTAGTACGGGAGTCATCTTCCATTGAATATAAGCAATTTACGGGTAAGATCCTAGGTACTATACGGAGTACTCCGTACTATAATGTAACATAATATCTGTATCATCTGATATATTATGCGATCTTATAGTAGCCTTATTTACAGACCGCCACATTCCGCTGTATGTAAGATATAATAGGTGGACCTCGGGATCAAAAAGCTTTCAAGATTTGTCATTGAGGTCGAGATCCATTGACAGCGTAGTTCGTGAGTCCACATGGGGAATCCATGTTCGGAGGAACCGATCGTGGCCTGGAGAATTACCATAGTCTGTCTCGGGCTGTATGTACTTACTATACTCACTTAGGAAGTAGCAATTTACTTTATTATACGTAAAAGTTGATTCTTTCGGGGGTTCTTTGTTTTCTTATTCCTTTTGTTTACTTTTGCTAGTTCAACGGGTGGGGTTTAGGAAGGACAATGAGGGAGGATTATTTGCCGCGATAACCCATACATTCCTAGAAAAATGAGCTAGCAGGGTTGGCAAAATCGTATCGATCGAGATCCCAGATCCCACGTTCGTCTATCCCTGTGGGGATCTATGCGATTAGCCGTACCCTGTATATCCTGTACAAACCTCCTTTTTCTTATTTTTTTGCCTCGTGGTATAGTCCAAGATTATTTCCATCGGGAAAAAGGGAAAAAGGTTAAAAAACCAGAAAAGGCAAAACGTGGCGTAGAGCCGATCTTGGAAAGAGCCGTGGAATGTAGATTCCGTTTTGGGACGTGCTGATTCATCCCATTCGTTCCCCGGGGCCCCCCTGCCCAGGTGGACACCTGGGGTTGCTCTTCAAGTTAGATACTTCCGTACATAGTACTCCGTACTCTATAGCGACATCGCATGATACTCCTTGCCACATAATGAGATTCGGACTCGAACCGATTTTTCTTGTTCCAGCAAATTTCATTTCTGTCTTCCAGCACCGGCCTGAATCGTTCCCGAGACACGGCCGACATGCCGGCCGAGTAAGCTGCTCATCTCCACGGTCAATTTTATACACTCTTTCGAACAGTCCATTCGGTTCTAGGCGGCGCATTCCGTGCGGTAAAGAGATAGGTGGTGAATTAGACCCTACGGTTCTCCGTGACAATCTCCGTATCGTACCAGAGGATCATAGAAAAAAAAAGGGCTAGCGAACTTTCGTGTATCCATTCACCGCGCTTGCACAACACTGCCGAATGTCATTCGGCAGATAACCGAAAAAGCGAAAAAGGCGTATCCGTACACGGAGTACATACGGAGAAGAATATCATGTATGGAACTATCTCCACGAGCTAATGATAATTTTTGTGTGGGCTTGCTACGATCACCCTTTTGGTTACTCCATATATCGACCTAGGTATGTTCTACAAAGTATGAATTAGGAAAATATGCCTATGACAGTGTTGATCGTCTATAGGCCTGTGCTGTGCGGCCTATAAGCCTTGGATCGGTGACCGACACAAACTCTATCTTGTGAGATCATCTAGATCGCATTCAATAGTTTGTTGCGGCGAGCTGTGAACTGTCCCTTGTGAGGGATGCGGCGATGACGGCCACAGTTTCTCCCTTTCGTCAGAACTCTGTTTAAAATAAATGTCGGTGAATTCCCGTGAAGGTCCACGCGACCTAACCTGGCAGATTGCCAGGAGCTAAAACGCGCACAGTGGTAGATCGGTATTTAAATCAGGCTCCCGGGCCTCCCATGCCATGCCGAATTAGGGATAGGATAACCGGAGTGGAGTGTAAGGTTCTTGTTCTTTTCTTCTTCTGTCTTCCCTGCCTTAGCTGGTTGTAGTATATGGTTGCATGCTATTTATTGCTTACATGTGTACGGAGTAGGTAGTATAGTACAAATATACTCCGTAGAGTATCGGACTTCGCCGTGAAAAACCCACTGAAATAACGGACTTGCATTATTGCATATTTATCTGAAATGCAGACATTACATTACCAACTGCAGCGGATCTATCCGAAACACTCAGGTTGACCACCCTATGTAGGGATATGTTCTGTACGGAGTACTACCAAGTCATTATTGAAGAATCTCACGATCATCTTCTTCACCCAAAACCAAACTTTCATGGAAACCTAATTAATTCGCAGATCAAATAACCGTGCACTGATTGGATGGAGCCCAACCCCGGCCAAATCCCTTCGTTTTCGTTTACCTTCTGATTCCACCCGTGGTTCCCGGGTGATTACTGGATCTAGCGGCTGACTCCATATTTGAAATCTTTGGAGGTGGGCTGACCAATTGAAATCGAGTGACCGGAAATACCGTTTTTGGTAGAAAGACTAACTGGCTGGAGCCAATAGTAAGAGATCGTGGGGTGATGGGTGGAGACGAATCGAATTACCGACCGACTGGGTCAAACTATTGATTTCAATCTTGGCTCTCTTTGAGTTTTTGGTGTATTTTGTATAATACAACATACAATATTACTTTTTGGGTAGACATGCAGGGGAGATCTATACCATGTTATTAGTATACTGCATTGCAAGCTGTACAAATTTTTTCATTCAAGTCGGACCCTCCCCGAGATCGAGCGAACAGCTACTCCGTACATCTGCCCGAAACCCCAGATTGAGCGCCCGAGATCTCCCGGGAGATGGCTTGCAGGAGGATGCATACAGTGTATCTTTGGATTGGACCAGGTTGTATTAGAAAAAAAGGAGGCAACCATGCTTAAAAAAATCCACTAGTCGTGCATGAAAGTTTCAAATCGTAGAATTTCAACCCCGCCCCGATCTTGACGATGCAGTCCACGGGTCCAGGAGATCCGTACTCAAAGCAAGCATCCCCCGCCTGCGATCTGAGATTGGCTCTAAGGCACGCGCTGAAATTGTGGCGGTGAGCTTTGGAATGTAGTATCATGTACACTTGGTACCCGCCATAATAAAGGCTGGGCAGGTATTGTATCGGGCTTGTCGGCATGTGAGATCCTCCAGGGCTGATGTCTTGAGTGAATTTTTCGTAAGCCTCTGGCCACGTCACGCTCTGATCCATTCTGAGATGCCCATTCTCCATGCGAGTCCGGTGAGTACCGATCTCACACGCAGCCAATGTACGTCGTAAAACAGAACTGCTAGTTTATGTAGCTGTGGTGGAGACGGTATGGTTCATCCCAACATGGTTTTGCTTTTTGATGGGATCTGCGTGATAAGCGCCTGGAGTGGGACAGCTAGGCTCCCGCGAAGGTGGGATGTGCACACTTCCAATATAGCTGCGGATGGTCATTCTAGCGGCGACCCACTATCAAGGCCGATTCTACTACAACATGTACATGTAACTGTGTGTCTCACTGCGGATCGATTTTAGGGGTAAGACATATCGTGGGTCTAGAAAGGCAAAAAAGACATTATTGAATCCTTCCGCAGGATGCGGGAGAAGTAACCATGGTTCCAGAATACGAGTCCTGCAAATCTTGTCTACCTACTCCGTACAACATAGGTAGTATGTATATTGTAATTGAGCCGCGGAGTTTAATCTTGATGTTGATCTGCAGGTTTAGGGAGCCTAACGGAGCATCTAGAGATTGCACGTGGATCTAGCTCTGAAATTGTTGAGACACTCTTTCTTTTCCCTCACTTGGCTCCAACATATAGATTGCATGTCTTAAATTTTGGATATTAAAAGACAGGAAGCACGGAGTACATACTCCTTAGATACAAAGTAGTTTCTTGGCGTAATTCGGCTCCGACCCACCTGATGCAATACCCGCGTGGTCGGTGGATATGGAAGGGATCGATGGTTCGATGGCTTTAACTCGGGACTGGGATCTCGGATCCGATTCCCGCTAATGGACTTTCTTTGTAAGCTTTTTGTAAGTTTTTGTAAGCTTAGTGAAGACTGTATTTTCTATCCAGGTACGGAGTACCATAATTACAGTGTAATCATGCCTTCTACCGCCAAAAAGCCCGCGCAACCGAGTTGATATAGTCGATCCCGTCTTTGCGCCATGTATCAGGCTCCATATGACTGGTAGTATTAGCATCGAGACAGAGATCAACGGGCTTGTCCATAGAATAAGAATCCCAGTACACAGGAGTCTTCACACCCGGGTTTGGATCGAGGTCGTGGATAAAAGATGCCCACATGCTCGTCATAATAGAACTGAGGTCAATGTATGACTGCGGCACCCCGGCAAACGGTTTGCCGTAGTGATATCCCAGTCCGGCAATGTTGTGGAACACAAATGATACCTCCTCGAAATGGGTCACACCCGAAAGGAGTGGCACATCTGCTGAGTGAACGTTGAACCGGTAGCAGTATGCTGGGGTTGATGTCTCGGCCCATGCTTCGCATTGTCGCCGGCGATTGGCATGCATGAACCAGTCACCTGCGAACGCTGAGGTGCGGCGCCATTGGTGGCCGTTTGAAGGCACGCGCTGGTCTCCGAGATATGCTGGAATTCCTTGCGATGGGTCGTCGGGGTAGAGTTCGAGGATGCGCTTGGCTACAGAGGGGGGTGTTTGGAAGTTCAATCCGCCGTCTGGATGGGTTAGCTTGCTGAGAGGGTAGCGTAGAAGATTGTTTACATACTTGTTAAGTATTGATACCATTGCTCTGTGGTGTTGATTCCTCTGGGTCCGAATGCTGTTCCTTCGTCCGTGTTGGTGCCAGCCATGATAGGAACTTTCACGAATGCATGCTTGTCCAGTTGAATACTACCCCAGTTCTGAATCAAATCCCCGTCCACGACTGGCGAAAAGTTGTAATCAGAGTTACCCTTCGTGCCGTTTAGAGCAGTGTTAAGTGTCTCAAATGGTACTTCGCGAAGGCACTGCAATGAATCCACGACGTCCGAGCAGCCTACCTTGGAGGCCAATGTGTTGTACTTTGATTGGAACGTCGTATAATTTCCCGGACTGGCGGGTATCGACCCCCCAGACTGCATGATGCCAGCCCGAAACAGCTTGTCATCCCGTCCGTTGTATGCTGTAAGATGATATCCCACTGACATGGCACCTGCGGACTCGCCCCAGATGGTGACTTTCTTGGGATCACCGCCAAAGGCGCCGATGTTTTCCTGGACCCATTGAAGCGCCAGCCTCTGATCTCTCAACCCAAGATTCGTGTTTCCGCTGCCAGAGACTTGACTAGAGCTGATAAAGCCCCATGCTGAGAGTCTATAGTTCAGTGTGACGGCGATGAACGGTTTGTCTAATATCTTAGTTAGACCAGGCCCTCAAGTGTCCAGAGAGAGGGGGAACCCCTACCAATTTGATATGAGTTTTCCACAATCGCAGACATGTTGTAACGCTCATCAGCCCCAGAGCCTTGATAAAATCCACCGCCATGAATCCACACCCCAACAGGAAGTTTCGAGTCTTTGTTGGCAGATGAACCCCGGATGACGTTCAGGGTAAGACATGCTTCTGACTGAGGGTACCAAATCGAGTCCGTCTAATTTCCGCATTGGTAAGAATCACCTTGGAAAACAACTGAAAGAATTGCACTTACACCATATCCAACACAAATATCCGAGTACTGTGTCGCATCGCGTGTATCATCCCAGCTCGCATTTAATGACTGCGGCACAGTAAAGCGCAAATTACCCACTGGCTGCTGGGCATACGGCATACCCAGGAAGAAATCCTGGTTGTAGGTTGAGCTTCGCACTCCAGTATAGGTTCCATTGCGCACTGCCACTGTGGGAGAAGATTTTGTGGGGACAGCATGGACTGCTGTCCATAGTAGAAAACCGGTTGCAAATCCAATCATAATGATATAGATGGACACACTTTTGCCCACTCTAGCCCTCCCATTTTGTGTCGTTTCACTTTTCATTTATATACCCCGTAGTATAGATATTTATCACTGAAGGTGCGGGGAAACCCCACAATCGCCTTAAATGGTCTGAGATCGACGTTCGGGAGATGTGAACGGCTGATGTTTGCTCCGGTCATGCAGCAAAACAAGCTACATAGCAAAGTCGGAATAATAGACTATCGGAGTAGTATCGGGATTATGACAAGAAGCGGAGAGATGGGATGGTCCAAGCCTATTCATCCACCAATACCCCTTCAAGATGTTCGGGGTATTTAGTTTCATGGCCAGTTTCTTCAAAGTTTGACGGACGATTGTCTGCTTTGGTCATAGCCCATATTAATCAATCCGAAGATTGACCGAAGTTTTTAAGTTAGCTTCCGAGGTAAGTGAGTCTTTATTGAGTTATATGGATATCTTGGAACATCTGGATTTGCAATATGGTAAAAGGAGATATAAAGCCCAGCATATCAGCATTGGGACGGATAGCCTGCCACATGCCTTTGATAGTCACAAAATAATCAAGTTCAACAAAAAGACCGGACATGGGAACTTTGCAGGATGAAAACCCGGACCAAGCACCAAATAAGTCGATGTGTGACACTAAGCACTCACCCTTGTATGACAGCAAGATCGCAGGGTTCCTGAAATCTTGAAATTGAACAAAGTAAGACGAAGTGTAACAGACCGAAATAACAGACCGATGGACACTGCAACGGTAACAGCTGGGACCCGAATAATAGTGACCGTATACATATCTAGGTACACATGTACATGGAGTTGTTTGCTCCTGGAAACTAGAGAAGACAGAAGATATAACAAGACAATCTCCCACTATGATGATTATTTGACGACTTCTGATGCTTTCCTCCAACTAAATCATGCCACCAGCAATGTGCTGGTCATTACCAAAACGCTCTCGCACCGGAACAGCAATAAAACTAGAATCCGAGGAAACAGCCGCCATCATCGCAGTCGCCCAAGGTTTCCTCGCCGCAATGAGCACCAAGTCGCGCGCCGATTTCGAGAAACACTGTGTCCGCGCAGGAGGGATGACACTCTCGCCTCCATCCCCGACTTCCCTGCGCTTCTGTACGATTGGCTCGTTCGTTGAACATGTCGCTGGGCTCAAAGACGATATCGATGAGCGCATCTGGGATCCTGAGGTGAAGGTGCACGAGACAGGAAGCCTGAACTTGGCCGCTGTGTGGGCACCATTCCGGGCGAAGATCAACGGCGTTGTGGATCATGTTGGTGTTGAACTTTTTGTTTTGCATAAACTCAACGGCGAATGGAAGGTGACTGGGCTGGCGGACTCGTGTCGGTTGCCGACTGCGGAGGAAAAGCTGATGGAATGAGTACTTTGGTTGGAGACACGTGAGAAATGAGAAAATTAAGGTTCATCAGATGCTGTGACAAGGAGGGCTGCCTCCAATTGTCATGAATATGTGTAAATTGTTTCAAGTTTCCGCCATACTACATGCTCACACTCTAGATATCTATTGTGTGTTTGGGGGGGTTTGCGTAGATGCCTCTGATCTAGACCTTTTTGCCTCGGAGAAGCTCCCATCCGACTGACCCCTTTTTGCCTTCTTTGATAGTCATCTCCTCAACGGCCTTCACTAGATCGTAGGTGATCTCTTCAGACACAACGCTGTCCTGCTTGTAGCTAGGATGCTTGGCTACAAACTCACGCATCCAACGAGCCCCAGTCCAGAGAGTTCCATCGGCTCGTTTCCGGATCAAATCAAGATATCTGGCCAGGAAACACCTCGTCTCGACGTCAACATTGACGCTGTTGAGGTAGGACTCCACAAGCGGGATGAGACCCGGGAAAGATCCGTCTGCGCATCCATTCACAATGTCGTCGATGGTCATGAGATCAAACTCTGTCTCAACGGGACCAAGAGGAGGCGATGGAGGCGGAGTGTTCACAGCCGACGATGTCGTAGATGAGAAGGTGCTGCCGTTCGTCGACTGCTGTGCGCTTCTGTGCACCCTGCGAGGGAAGGGGTCCTTGCGGAACCAGAACTTCCGATCAAGAACAGCGTTGCGAGCGTGTGCCGTCTCCATATTCTCGGTAGTGCGCTGGATCGGGATGTAGAAGTTGAGATCGAAGCTCAGGACGGCACGAGTGATGAGGACGATGAAAATGCTAAATGCGGCGTTCTCGAAATCTGTGATTTGGATCTCCATAGACCGGAACTCAACTCTCCAGCCGATATCATCTTTATCAGGTGGCGGTGGCTTGAAGCGCATGTGCTGCCAATTAGTGGACTGTAAATTCTCAAAGTGGTCACTCTTGTTAAGATCCAAATCTTCGAGATCCTCAGAGAAAATGACCAAGGGGTCACGGATAAACAAGTGTGCAAAATGCGTCGCAAGTAGATCATCCATTCCTCCGTCCATAAGGCGTTTCTTAATATCCTCATCAACAACTAGGTCAGGATCAAAGTATTCTTTCCGGAGACGAGGATCCTGGGATATGTAAGTCGAATTAGAGGCATATCGCGACTTGGGAATTCTCCACCGGTCGTTCTTGAGAGGCTGCGAGAGGTTAGTTCGGTGAGCCAAGGGTATCATTCCGGCAAACTTACAGCTTCGCCAAGTTCCTCGGGTGTCCTATCATCGACTGCATTGCCAATTTGGTTCCATCGCACATCCGTGTCCACTAGGAAGCCTTTATAGATGGGTGTAGCGGCGGTCAAGGCCAGAAGAATGGGCCCCAAAGGACTCAGTTGATCATAAAGTCTTCTGCCCTCTGTCATATTCTTTGCTTGAAAGGTGATCTGCAAGCAGCAGCTGCCCATTCCAAATGCCATGGCGTCCATGTAAACATGATCATCCTTCGCTGCGCCGTTGCGGACGTCGTCATCCTCGGGCCAATTATGAAGGTCGTAGTTAACTGTTGGATCCTTGAATGGCCTGGGCGTATTTATGTCATGGAAAACAGGTACATTCAGTTCGACCTTGCGACCTCTTCGGGATCGAATGTTGGCAGCCAGAGTAGGGAATCGGATATGGGGGTTGGCAATCTCATCAGGAACAAACTGCGAGCGGAGAGCTGGTCCAGACGGAGGATAATATGGCTGGATGTAGTCATCCTTGGTTCCAAGCCGAGGGAAGGTTGTTAGGGTGATGGGGACTTCATTCGGAGCCATGTGTGCTTTCGCAACTTCTCGTCTTGGAGGTTATTAGCATGTTTCGGGTCAAGTTGTGTTGTTGAAAGAGCTCACCTCCACTTCATATTGGACTCCACCTTGAGTAGGTCTTTAAACCCGATTCCCCAAGGCTGTCCGGGAGTAGCCTCCAACATGAACCTTCCGAATTCGGGGTGGAAGTGAGGCGGCTCCTCTCCGTCACTGGTTGGTGTCAGATATGCCAGTTCCTATTTCACATCAAACCACACTCACTGGTCCCCAGTTTCGCTGCCCCTGCCGGAACCAGACTTCCACAACTCCTCGTCTCTTGCAAGTGATTTCAGGATCTCAGCCTGAGCTAGAGATAACCGTGCTTTTTTCGCCGCGCCGTCGAGAGCTACCACGAGGTATTCAACCTATCATAGAGGATATTGATCAGCGATTGCGACCGGGAAACAATATGCGGGCCAGAACAACATACCTCGTCGCCCCAAAGAAGAGCATCGCGTTCTTTGCCTCGTGCCCTGCGCCAATTGGCAAGTAATTGCTAATCAAGTCAGACACCTCGAGGTTGTTTCGTTGCCGGTCTAGACGGATCGAACACAAGCGGCATACCTCGATACCCCACTGGCGCACCTGGCCCGCCTTTTTCTTGGCTTCCGGCCATTCCAGCGCTGTTCCAAGTGCTCTGCTTGAGATTAGAGGGATTCCCAATAGCAAATCAAGCCTCGCAAGACACATACAGAAGTCCCATGGCGTCAAGGATGTAGTTCTCAAGCTGGCAAACACAAAATGCCCAGGCACAAGTATAGGGTGAAAGAGTCAAGACAATCCCAGGGTGAACAGGAGAGCCGAAGGTTTGAAGAACCGAGAGTAATCAAAGAGATGTAGACCAGCGCATAGTCCCCTTTCTAATTGATTCTCTGTAATTCCTAATCGCAATGAGGGGGGTCGATTTTTCGGAGGCCGGCCGATTTTCTGGCGGGGGCGGCGATAACGGCGGGAGTTTTATTTCCACCTGCCCACCTGTGAAACCTTGGTATTATTAAGCATGATTTGTCACAGCCCCGAGGATCTAGAGACTTCCAAGGTTATCCCATCGAGGCTTTTATAAAGGGATGTCCTCATCTGACTCAATTTGGGAAATCGTGAGCATGGAGTGTCCTGGTATAGAAAGAGCTTGAGGTGGTGAGATAGTGGTGGTGACATGAGACCCTGCACTTGCGTCTTCAACCTTGGAAGGATCACCATCGGAGCGTCTATCATAGGCCCGAGCGTTGTATAGATACAAACCTTGGAAGGGAATGAGAACAAAGTCACATATATGATTGATAGTCAGTAACTATGTAGTTAATACCAAGATGAACTTGAATGATGGTCGATCCTCTACACAGTAAGCTAAGCTCTGGAGAGAATACCTACAGAATAGATGAACTCAGCACCTAAATTTGAAGGTATCATGAACATCCATGGATGGAAGGTATCAGAAGTATAAGCGCAATTTATTGATATGATTAAATGACGAAATGACGACTTGCGTCAAAACTGCATGAAAATAAGTACATATGTATCCATGTATTTGTTATCATATTATTATCATACCTACTACGGAGTACAACTATTAGCATAATATCGTGCATACCACCAATCGGTAGTAATACAGCCAATAGAACTTGCAGCTTAAGCTTATAAAGCTGCAAATAATCATTGGACGCAGGGCTACTCCGTAGATATGTTTATTTAGGTAACATGCTTGGCCATAGGCCAAGGGATTTAGGTATAGGGGGAGATCTATAGAATAGGCAGCCCAAAATG